TCCTCAGCACCACATAAGCAAAAAGAAAAAAGCCGGAAGTGGCGCTGTGGCTCAAGTGGTAGAGTGCTAGCCTTGAGCTGAAGAGCTCAGGGACAGCGCCCAGGCCCAGAGTTCAAGCCCCACGACCGGACCCCCCCCCAAAAAAAAAAAGGAAATGTACTCATTATCTTGCCCATGTAATTGTAACCCATCTGTACGGTATTTTCACAATAAAATAAAATAACAGGAAGCAAATTCACATGCAGCCCCTCACCTCTGATGCAGCACGAATGATCGCAGAGATTAGGCTGCATAGCTGGTTGCCCCTGGTGCGGAAGGCAGCCAGGCCAACCCCTTGCAGGTCCCCATGCTGGTCAGAGGCCTCCAGTTGCTGGCTGAGCTGCAGCACCTCCTCCTGCAGGGTGTAAAGGCTCCGAAGTCGGACCTGGCCTTCCTCCTTCTGCAGCCGCTCCAGCTCTGCCTGTTTAATGCGTTGTTGCTCTGCCTCCCGAAGCTTCAGGTTGAGAATCTACAGAAAGGGCCACTGAGTCACTTTATGACAGGCATGCGGAGAGGCTTTCCCTTTCCACAAGCTCAAGTCCTAGGTGAATTACACATTTTCAGATGTGCTCAGAACAGAAAAAGGACTTCTCAAGACCCTGTGATGATTAACTTTCATTGTCAACTTGACTGGACTGAGCTCTTTCTTAGGTTAATAAAAGTATACCTCAGCCGGGTACTAGTGGCTCATGCCTGTAATCCTAGCTACTCAGGAAACTGAGATCCAAAGATGCTGGTTCAAAGCCAGTCCAGAGGGCTGGGAAGGTTGCTTAGTGGTAGAGTGCTTGCCTTGCACGCATGAGACCCTAGTTTCGTTTGATTCCTCAGCACTACATAAGCAGAAAAAGCCGGAAGTGGCACTGTTGCTCAAGTGGTAGAGCACTAGCTGCAGAGTTGAGAGACAATGCCCAGACCCAAAGTTCAGGCTCCATGACTGAACCTCCTCCCTCCCCCCCCACGCCCCCCAAAAAACCAGTTCAGACAGGAAGGTCTATGAGACTCATATTGCCAAGTAATCAGCAAAATGACAAAAAAAAGGTGCTGTGGTTCAAGGGGTAGGGTGCCTGCCTTGAAAGAAAAAGCTAAGGGATAATGCCCAGGCCAAGTTCAAGCTCCAGTACTTGAAAGGAAAAAAAAAAAAAAGGTAAGCATACCTCTGCAGGAGGAAGACCTGCTCTGAATGTGGCACCATCCCATAGGCTGGAGCCCAGAGAAGGCTTTATTTTTCTGCTTCCTGGCTGCCATTATGTCGGTGCTATGCTGACACGACTTGCCTACCTTGAGTTGAAACCCCTGAAAATGTGAGCCAAAATAAATCTTCTCCGAAGTTTTTCTCTCAAGTACTTGGTCACAACAACAAAGTAAGTGACACAGCCCAGTCACCCAGAGATATGACTGGCCTAGGTTCTCCAGGATAGTTCTTTGCTGGAAGCTGACACTTCATACAGGCTGCAGACATTGACACAATCCCTGAGTCTCCGAGGTACAGACCTTGGCTCTGTGGCGATGCTCAGCTTTCAGCTTCTCCTGGTGGCCCAGAGCTTCCCTAGTGCTGAAGAGTAAGGGAAGAGAGAAATTTAGGGATGGTTCCTAAGATTGCTTTCCCTCTCTTAGAGCCATTTTGTTGGGTTACACTGATCATCTTGCCACAGATGGTCATTTCTTTGGGTTATAAGTTTCTCTGCCTATATTATTATAATACTTAAAGTCTTGGGACTTGAACTCTTCTACTTTTGGATTCCTCTTGGGAATGAATTCCTGTTGAGACCATAAGATATTCCTAGCTGGGGCAGGGAATGGGGCTTAGTGGTAGAGTGCTTGCCTAGCATGCATGAAGCCCTGGGTTTCATTCCTTAGTACCACAAACACAGAAAAAGCCAGAAGTGGTGCTGTGGCTCAAGTGGCAGAATGCTAGCCTTGAGCAAAAAGAAGCTCAGGGACAGTGCCCAGGCCCTGAGTTCAAGCCCCAGGACTGGCAAAAAAAAACAAACCCAAAACATATTCCTAACTGTAATTCAAGGAAACTCACCTCTTCTCCATCACTTCCCGCAAGTCCTGGAATTCTTTATGTTGCTTCAGTTCTTTGCGTTCATCAAACCGCTTCAGCTGTTCAGATGCCATCTCTGAGAAGGAGCGGACCTTCCTCTCTTGTTCCTCCTGCCACTGCCTCAAGCCCTCCTGAAAAGGATCAGCATCTGCTCTTAGAGCACCAGCACAGCTCTGGGCCACTTTCCCTTGGTCCTGAACACTCAAGGCCTGCTGCTCATTTCTTAGGACAGGGGCAGGAGCTTTCTTTCCACTTTCAACAGACCCTTAAACTCAGCTGTTTTGGAAATGTCTTCCAGTTTGCTCCAAGTGGTGTTGTTTTATTTGTGGGAGGAAGGGTAAGACAGGGTTTTGTGATATAGCCCAGGATTTTCTTGTATCTATCTCCTGAAATGTGTGTACCACCACACCTGAGATTATGTTATTCTAAGGGTGGAGGGGATAACTCAGTGATTGCCTAGCTTGTGTGAGACTCTTGGTTTGATCACACATACACACAGACACACACGCGCGCGCGCGCGCGTGCTCACACACACACACAGATTAAAAAAAAAGGGGAGAAAGCCACATTAATCTATTTTAAAACATTTTGCAAGAAGATAAATTAAACAGACTATGTTAAAATGAGGTGGGGGCCAGGCTTTACTGGCTCACACTTGTAATCCTATATACCCAGGAAGCTAAGACCTGGGGAACCTTGGTTTGAAGCCAGCCTGGGAAAAAAAGAGTCTGTAAGATTCCATCTCTAAGACTATATGAGTAGCTAAGATTCTACAAGTAACACATAGTAAGTATTCTTAGACCTGGAGAAATGCAGTGAAATATAGCCCTCTAGGGTCAAACCTGCCTTGCTTCACGGGTTCACTTACCGTTCCTTTCATTCTATGCAAAAATTCATACATTCGGATGCACCCTTCCACTCTGACCCCTCGGGAGGACTGCAGGGCCATGGGTTCTGGGTGCTGGGGCTCATGTTTGTCCTACACAGACAAAAGATTTTTTTTTTAAGTTTTAACATGCTTAAGTTTATGTCTTCTACACAAAGACTGCATCCTGTGTTAGCTTTCCATCACTAACAAAAGGCCTTGAAAATCAATTTCAAGGAGGAAAGGTTTATTTTGGTTCCCAACAGAGGTTATCCAGAGGTTATTCTTCCTATCTACTATTACTTGGCTACAAGAGGTTCTGAGCTTTCGTGAAGCAGAACATGATGAAAGGCATGGAGTGCAGCAAAACTGCTCACCTCATAGTTACCAGGAAGTATAGGAAAAGGGGCAGGTAGGAGAGCTGAAGGGATTAGAGAATAAATAGCTAACAAGGGGGCATGCCCTCAAGGATACTCTGCTTTCAACTCAAGTTGCTTTTCCATCGCCTCCCAATAGCCCATCAAAATATGAAACCAGCAACAGATTGATCTATTGACAGAATGAGAGTCATGATTCAATCACTGCCCAAAATTCTGTTGTAGGACACTGCTGCACTGGGAACCAAGCCTTCAACATGTGAGTCATCTTAGATCCAAACTGTAACACATCCCAACTTATGAACCAATAATGAACTTTTTTTGGGGGGGAGGTCTGGTCGTGGGGCCTGAACTCTGGGCCTGGGCACTGTCCCTCAGCTCTTCAGCTCAAGGCGAGTGCTCTACCACTTGAGCCACAGCGCCACTTCCGGCTTTTTTCTCCCTGCTTATGTGGTGCTGAGGAATGGAACTCAGGGCCTCATGCATACAAAGCAAGTGCTCTACCACTGAGCCACCTTCCCAGCCCCGAATAATGAACTTATGAGCCTCCAATAACTAGGACAACAAGAAAAAAAATGTAGGTAAAAACCAGCATATTTTTTCATGACACTTAACAGTATTCTATTTTTTTTTTTTTTGTAATACTAGGAATTAAACCCAGAGCCTACTTCCTAGTAGGCAAGAACTCTATCACTGAGCTACATGCCCAGCCTGTTTCTTTAATAAACTGATGTTTGTTGTTTTGGGTAGCTTTTTGGTTTGCTTTGATTTGGCTTGCCTGCTTGTTTTACTTTGCCCAGAAAATGCTGCTACTTTCATTTGAAAATCCAGAAGTGGAGCTCAAGTGCTCAAGTGGTAGAGCACTAGACCTGAGCACAAAAGTTCAGGGACAGCCAGGCGCCTGCCTGTAATCCTATCTACTCAGGAGGCTGAGATCTGAGGATCGAGGTTCAAAGCCAGCTCGGGCAGGAAAGTTCGTGAAACTCTTATCTCCAATAAATCACCAGAAAAACGGAAGTGGGGCTGTAGCTCAAGTGGTAGAGCACTAGCCTTGAGCTGAAGAGCTGAGGGAAAGTGCTCAGGCCAAGGGTTTAAGCCCCTCACTGACAAAAAAAAAAAAGGTTCAGGGACAGCTCCCAGGTCCTGAGTTCAAGCTCCAGGACACTGGCACAAAAACAAAAACAAAAAAGAGCAAAAAAGGACAGCCATTCAGGAATTTACTTAAACTCTAAGAATTATGAAACTTTATACATGGAGAGAACCTCAGCAATTGAGTTTCAGAATATTTACAGATGAAGAAACAGAAGCCTTTCAAGGAAGAGAAAGATCTGCCCAAGGACACACACTTTAAAATCAAACCTCAATCAGTTTTGTTTTTTTTTTATTTTTTTTTTTGTCGGTCGTGGGGCTTGAACTCTGGGCTTGGGCGCTGTCCCTCAGCTCTTCAGCTCAAGGCGAGCGCTCTACCACTTGAGCTACAGCGCCACTTC